ATTTATTTATTTGGTTTTTCTCTGTGTAGCTCTTGCTGTCCTGGAACTCACTCTGTAGACCAGACTGACCTCAAACTCAGAGATCTGCCTGCTTCTGCCTCCCGAGTGCTAGGATTAAAGACATGTGTCTATGGACCAACTACTTCAGTTAGGCTTGCTTATAAAAAATATGGTTGAGAGATTATTTACCAGGGTATGGGTAGCTTACCAGTGTCACTGAAGGAAGTCACTCTTTGTCTCCAGCCACCATGAACTGTCTGTAGCTCCTCAGAGAGGTGTGAGGCCTCCTGAGCCCCTCCCCATCCCATGATGGAATGTTTCTGGGCTCAATCTTATTGCAGGTCTTAAACAGAGTCACAGCTGCTGAAACAAGAATGTCATGACCATGTCATACCCATAAGATAGTTCTATATACTCTGCTTCTTCCTCTAAGCTTTTCCTTTCTTAACCCACACCCCCACACCCCCATACCCCCCCACACACACACAGAGTGTTCCCCGAGCTTGGGAAAGGATAGTATAGATAACTCATTCAGGTTCACCAATTGCTCATTCTCAGTGTTTTGACCAGTTATGAGTTTTTGCACCTACTGCTAAGAGAAGCCTCTCTGGCTCTCCTAGTTAACTTCAACTGTCAACTTGACATAGCCCATAGGTATGTGAGGAAATCTTAAATGAAGGCATGACCTAATCATTGCCCTGTGAGCATATCTATGGGACATCTTGATTGTTAATTGATATAGGAGACCCCAGCCAGGTGTAGGTGGTACCATCTCTGAGCATCTGGGCCTGGGATCTATGGGCACAAATATAAATGTTTAGAAGTCAATTTGATAGATGTATCACGTCCATTTAGCAAAAGAGCTGCAGTAATTTCCTGAATAGGGCCTTTTACCTACAGTACCAAATATAAATTTCCTCCTGGGGAGCAGGCCTCGAAGAAGGAAGTGGTCCATTAACACTCATGGCACTGTTTTACCAATTGGTACATCTTGCCTGGCTGGTCAGTGTCATACTGGACTGGGTCCAGAGCTAAGTATCATTGTTGATGATTTTTCTTGAGTGTCCTGCATTGCACCTTCTAGCTCTGTATGAGCTAGCCAGCTTTGAGGCACAGACAGTTCACTTCCTGTTGCCTGAAGTTCAAGATGTAGAACTCTCATCTCCTTCTCCAGCACCATGTCTGCCTGCATGCCACCATGTCCTGCCATGATGATAATGCATTAGACCTCTGAGCTGTAAGCCACAATGAAATGTTTTCCTTTGTAAGAGTTGATGGGGTCATGTTGTTTCTTCCAAGCAACAGAAATTCTAACTAAGACAAAGAAAAACATGACGGTTTCTCTCACTTTTGGTTCTGAGGTTTTATATAGTACATTAAATCATACATGTGCAGGAGAGAGACTTGGAAGTTCTAATAAAGTTGTGTAAGAGGCAAATGTGATCATGGGTGGGGAGTAGTGTAAATATACTAAAAATTACATACATGTAAAAAGTGCCAAAAAAAAAAAAAAAATTAGGACTGTGAACAGAGGTATCCCGAATTGGTGGATAAAGATAAAGTTATTTGAGCATAGGCGACCACAAAGGCTGCCCCTGTTGGAAGGCCCAGCTAGCTGGTCAGAGGTTATAGTCTCTCATGGCCTGGCCACTCTCTCTGAGCTCAGTGCAACATGGAGGCTCCTCCTTCCCAGTGGAGGCTTCCTGCCTTCTGTCTGACCTTATTTGGAGAATGTCTCTAGGCTTGGGTACCTGACTTACTCTCTAGCATGGCCCTTGACACAGTTCCCTGCAAGAGCTTTCCCCCTACTGCCCATATGATAAAGAGATATCATGTCACAAGCTTTGCTGTGGGTCCCTGCTGCCACATGTGGAACCTTGTGATAGCTGTGTGCTGTTTATTGCAAATTAGGTGATGCCCCAGCCATTGGCCCCAGGCTTAATTAATATTTCCCCTTTCTCTGGAATAAACTTAAGCTACACCGAAGCAGTTTCTAGGAAGGCTTTTCCCATCATATCACAGGCCAGACAAGGTTGCTTCTGTCCTCTCTTTGTGGCCTAATGGCCAATGGACCACAAAGAAAGAAGAAACTCTCATGCCCCCACAGTGACACATTTCCATCGACAAGGCCATACCTCCTAATAGGGCCATTCACTTTGAGCACATGGGAGCCAGTTACATTCAAACCACCACAGTCTTTTTCTGTTTGACTTTATTAGCTTAACATGATTATCTCTACTTACTTGTACCCATTTTTTAATGGGGAATGTCATCATTCCATTCTTTGTTACAGCTAAAAGCATTCAACTGCGTGTATATTCCTCGGTTTCTTAATCCATCCCTCTGTGTGGGACACTGAGTATGTGATTGGTGCTGTTGTAAACATTGGTATGTAAATGTCTTATGACATGTGGACATGGAGCCCCTTAGGTTAATACCCAGAGATGAAATGGCTGGGTCACAGAGGTCTACCCTTTGACTCACCTCCTTGCCAGCATTTGTTATTTGCTTTCTTAAGGGCTACTGTTCCAACCAGGCTAAGATATAATCTTGATGGAGTTTTGATTCGGATTTCTCTGACAGCAAAGCAGAACTTGTTTTCTATTAATTGACCTTTGGTGGCCCTCTTTTGACATTGTGTGCTCATCTCATTAGCTGATTTATGATTGAGTTGGGTTCTTTTTGGTTTGTTTTCTACATTCTGTTTAGTTTTTTTGACATTAAACATCAGGCATATAACTTCCAAGGATTTCCTTCCATTCTGTAGGCTATCTCTTCACTGAATTGTTTTTTACAAAAACATTTTAATCTCATGGCATCCCTCCCATTGGCCAATTGTTCTTTACTGAACAATTAGATTCCTCTTGAGAAAAGCCCTGCCCAGAACTCTACCTGGATGTGTTTCCCCCCACTTTTTTCTCTAACAGTTTCAGGGTTTCAGTTCTGAAATGAAGAGATTTGACCCATCTGGAGAATAAGGGGGATTTCATTTCGTTTTTGTACATAAGGATTCCCAGCTTTCACAGGACAGTCTGTTAAGAAGCTATGTTTGCTTTGTGGCAGATTCTTGGCATGTTTGTCAGAAACCAGGGCTGGGGAAATGACTCAGTGAATAACGCACACTATATGGGTTCAGGTGATTAAAATCCACAGAAAGCCAGATGAACCACTACATGGCTGGAGCCTTGGCAACTCAGGTGTTATCTATGAAGACAGTACCTCCTGTCCATCCAGCAAATTGGTATTCTCAGTCTCTTCAACTAGGAAAACTAGTCAAGTTTCCTTCTGGCTTCTGATGGGGAAAAAAAAAAAAAAAAAAAGAGCCAGGACTGTGATCTTTGTTCTTCTCATTTGGTTTAGGCAGTGTCTTGCCTTCTCCCCATTTCAGCTTCAGAACCCTCTGTGGAGAGGGTTTACTGAGACCAGTTAGTTATGACTACTGAGTCAGAAAACAAAATTTTAATGGAAATGTCTTGTTTTTAAATCATTGTGCTTTATGGCTAGCCTCTTTTGTGTCTCATCAGCAGCTTCCCCAATAGAAAATGTCTGTTTCAAGAGAAAGGTATCATTCCAGTGAGAGTGAACATCCAGCCAAACTAGGTGACGTAAGAAACTTCTATGGTGATGTGAGTGTTATTTCTTTGGTGTCAGTTTCATGCATGTAACACTGGTCAAATGACATCTTTAGAAAATGTGTGTTTTAAGGTGTGTTTTAAGGGAGAGTGACTGCCTGGCATGCACAACGCTGGAGATCCTATCCTTTGCACTACAGGAAACGTTAAAAAGGAATATACAGTTTATCTCTGCATACTCAGCTTTACTTCTATAAAGTGCACAAAGTCAGAGGGCAGTAGTAACAGTATATAAAAGTTGCCTTAGCCCTTGTCATTCATTTTAAGCTAATAGCTAAGAAACTTATTGGGACTAAATGACCCCTTTAAAGGACAGCTAAAGTTCTCCATTCATAAAGGCAGCTGAACTTTCCATTAGGACAAATTTCATCTGGGGACAAATCATTCCTTTTTGTAGGGCCCTAGGACACCCCTGGCTTCCACCCCCTATAGCATCCCTCAACACACACATGACATTTACTGGTCTCCACACATTTCCTGATGGCCTGTGGAGCTACCACTCCTATGTGAAAGCCACTGCTCTAGGATAAGGGTTCTGTTTTGTTTTGTTACAGCCAAGAATAATAATATTTAATTTCTGAATTTGTACTATGATTATGTGCATTTTTAAAAAATGGAGGCAGCTCATTTTCTATGATGACAAGATTTGCCTGGCCTGAAATGCAGATGCTATTGTTCTTCATCCTCTTTTCCACTGATACTTGCTTCAGGCACCCACACCTGAGTTCACTCCCCTGCATCTCAGAGCCTTGTCCCAGGCGTTCTTTCTCACAGTGCCATAAATGGCAAGTGATGTTGTGATGAGCATCTGCCATGGGGGAGAGAAAGGTACAAGGGCCAGAGCAGTTCACCTTTCACCTTAGAAAGAATATTCTGTTCTTGATGATGACAATAGTAGTTTTTAAACAAATAAAGGTTGTAAATATTAGTACTTGGAACTAATCCTGTTTTATATATAGGATTCAGAGAAGACACAAATGCTAATGCTCAGATAGGCACACCCGCCAGTGTGAAACTTGAGAGGAAAATGACATTTTAAGTAGAGTAAAGTTGCCATTGGGAACATGCCCTGTGCTGGCACCACTGGCATTCCACATGGCACTGTCTACAGGGAGACCTCAGGTGACATTTCTGTGGATTAGAGCCCTGAGCCAAAGAAATTTCTACTGTAGGCCTGGATGTCACAGCTCTGTCTACTCTGCATAGGCTGTCAAGGGCCAAGGTGGCCAAGGACTTTGGGACATTCTGTCCTTAGTTTCGTTTATGAAATAAAGGTATGTGCTGATCAGTGGTACAGAGGACCGTTCCTCTCCCCTCCTTGACTCTAGCACCATCTTAACCATATTCTTCGCTCTTGTCTCTTCCCAGAAATACCTCAGGGAGTTTTTCAGTGTGATGCTCCAGTCTGCGACATCTCCCCTTCACATCAACAAAGTGGGGCTGACCCTGTCCAAGCACACCATTTGTGAGTTCTCGCCCTTCTTCAAGAAAGGTGTCTTTGACTACAGCAGCCATGGCACGGGATAGATGTGAGGTGACAGAGGAACCACCAGCACAGTGCCTTCTCATCAAAGTGTCTCCGATGCAGGCGGACTCCCTCCCGCTCCAGGATCCCAGCCTGCCTCCTCCTGTTGGGGTAACATGCAGCAGCCAGCCCAGACCACCTCACACACCATATCTAGTGCCTGAGTTTGGGAGTGGGCTGCTTTGCCTGCCAAGGGCGACCCTGACCGGCAGTTGTTACTGTACCTCTGCACTTGAACGTGGCCTTTCCCATAGTGCTTCCTTCTCATTGTGCAGCAAGTCAGTCCCCTCTGGCAAACGGATGTGCGGCTTGCTAGTCTCTTGGGGCTCCCAGAGCCAAGCCAACTTGGGACCTCCCAGAGTGGGTGGCTTACCAGACCACCCTTAAATGGCTTTCATCTGGTTTCCTCTTTCACCAAAATATGCTTGTTTTTTTATACTCCTTCCACGTGGCTGGCTATATTTCAAAGATGTTTTAAGTTATATTGTACTGTTTTGCTCGATTGGATTGGGACTTAATATACATAAACACTGAAGTTTACACCAAATGTCCTGTTCTGCAAAAAAAAAAAAAAATATATATATATATATATATATGTATATATATATATATATATTTTTTCTGTGGGCCAATCATGAAAAGAGTCTTCCATGCCTGACAAATTGGATGTAGCCAACATCACCTAAAACTCATAGAAATCCCTACAAATAAGACATTGCTTAAACTTTCAGTATTTGAGGGCATTTTCCCAAACCTCAATGGCTGATGTCCATTCTTGCGCTTTTTTTTTTTTTTTTTTTTTTTTTTTTTGCATAAAACGCGTGCGAAGCTGGATGCAATCTTTTAAATATCCTTTTGTTTGTGTTTTAGTACAGAGTCTTCAGGATCATTAGCTAAAAAAGGAGAGAGAATTTGCAGTAGTTTATTAATAATCCCTCAATTACTCAGGACATAATGTAGCATTGCACATCTGTGTACAGTCAAACTGCTTCATTTATCAAAAGAAAATTGTGAATAGGAAAAAAATGTGGTATATATTGAATGTATATAATTCTACCTATAGATTTATATGTATACATTCCTGTACAATAGTTAAATATCAGGCTGTATAATTATTCACACCAAATTTATTAAAGGTGTTTGCTTTTTCAACTGTTAAATTAAGCTGCTATCAATATTAAATGAAGTCATGAATTCTACCCTGTAGCTCACTTTATTTTAAGTTTGTAATATGATCATTCCTACTGGTCTGTTAACAGTGGATCTGATGTGCTTAGAAAGATGCATAATGTATAATTTAGCATTTGTGTTGCAGGAAATGCAAGTCATGGTAATGACTAAAGTACCATGAGTGATTAATTGAACATGTTTGCATTCAGTCTTCTAGAACGTACCTGTCTAGCAGAACTCGTAAACTTTAAAAGTATGTTTGAAGATGCAGGTATTCTTATAAGGAAGAAAATAATGTTCTCTTAATGAAATATCAAAGCTTAGCATGAAAAATTAAAATCTATTTAATTGCCACAGAAGGATCTGCTTCTCTCTCCAGTCATGATTAAAGGCCTAGGTTTCACAGTAGTTGAATTTAAAACTAAAGAGTAAAGGATAAAAACTGGGAGGTGATAATTAGCCACAGGTAATTTATCTAAAAGAAGTCCACATGCTGAAGATTAACCCTCATTTACTTGAATAAATTTTGTTTTTTTTCAATTGACCAGATAATCTCTTGCCCTTTGGGACCTTTATTAAAAGGTCTGATGGCAAGTATTTTGTTAAAATTATACATTGTATTTGGCAAGAATAAACAGTGTATTCATGAGATGATCCACCTCTTATAATCTGCATGGAAGTGGTTGGAAGCCTACTACTAAGTGGCTCTGGCTAAAGCCAGCAAAGGCATAGAGGAGTCACTCCATCTCCCCAGACCTTGTTCTCCATCTGAAAAGAAAGCTATTCTAGCTTCCATATGGACCTATGGCTATCAGGGGATGAATTGTTCTAATTGGTCCAGCTATAGTTGTTTGTGTGTGCATGAACTACTTGTTAACCATCTGATTTAGAGGCTGCTGCCTATGAACTAAACATGAGGGGATGTTGGAAAGCAAGTGACGAATTATATCTAAACAAATCATGGAGTATAATGGGTCTTTCTTTATATCAGTAGCTCTCTAATAGTGACATGGAGACTCATTATTAAGTACGAAAGCTTGGCCTTAGCTTATGCTTGCTCTTAACTAGCTCTTAAAACAAACTAACCATTTTATATTAATCTACATTCTGCCACATGACTTGTTACCTAGCTTCAGTACCTACCATATGTGCTACTTCCTCTATGTCTGACTAGCAAATATCTCATGCCTCAGATTCCTTCCCAGGTTCGAGTCTCTCCCTGGAAGTCCCCACTATCCTCTCCTGCATAGCTATTGGCCATTCAGCTCTTTGTTAGACCAACAAGAAGGTGCCTTAGGCAGATGAGGAAGGACAGAGACATCTTCACACTATGTACAAAAAGCTTATCCCAACAGTGGAGTTCTTTTCTGAGATAAAGATAAGACAGATGGCAGGTCTAGGCTGACAAAATGGAAGCCTCAATCATTTGAACTAATTAAAGAAGAAAAAGAAAATTAACAAGTATGTATTGTATTACTGTATTTTCAGGCATCCCAAATACCAACTGGACACTTTACCAATTTAGACTGAGAAGTCATCCTCTTACACTTTGTTGTCACTTGAGCAAATCTGAAGAACTTAAGTAGAATTCTTTTTTAAAACAGTCGGCATGCCTTCCTAGATATTGTTTATAAAATTAATGTTTATCAATCTTGTCTAAAGCCACATTATAATAATCTTCTGTCCAGTTCCCACACAGACCTTGCTGTCCCTGAATTAGGTTCAAATTCAACCTTGTGGTTCTTTAGGCAGATGACTGGGAGAATATGAATCAGGATAACTCAACAGTAAGTGACACCCTACAAGACTCTCTGCTCATGATGTAGAGATACATGAACAGGATTGTCAAGGTTCCAAGGTCCTTTCAAATTTAAATTTCTGTGCAGATCTATGGCTTCAGTAGAAATTTGCACATTGTAAATAAGTGCTAGGCATGCTCAGTCTGGCTTCTGATCAGCCTGCACAGACTCCAGACAGGACTTTCACCATCTGGGTGGAAAGCTTACATGGATGAACCTGGAGGATGTCTACTCCATGGAGCTGCTGTGGAGCTGTAACTCCCAGCCTTTGCTTGAGGCATGTTAGTTGATAATTCTGTGTTTAATTTTATGGGATGTAATGTGGGTTTTGCATTGCATGAACACAATATGCCAATAATAGACATTTACATTCTTCTATTGGATAACAATGGCTTCACAGGGTTAACAACAGGCTCAAAGATTGCAATTTATCATATAATCCTTCCCTGCTTTGGTTGCCTAGCTGAGGAAAATGCAAATTCTTTTGTTCCAATCATAATTGATAATATTAATTCAAACAGCACACAGTAAATATATCTATACTTCTGTGCATTTGTATATGGCTTACAGAATGAATGCAAGTTAAAGAGGCTATAGCAGAGTTCAGGACGTTTCAGAAGTGGGCTGAGTCTTGTGTTGATATAGAACCAGACCAGGGTCCAGAGGGAGCTGCTACTGGAGTTAGAATTTGAGAATGAAGCTGCAGAATTTGGCTTTGAGAAGGCTGACCAGATGGTCTGCAGCCAGAAATGGGTCAGAAGTGGCTTCAGATGGAATAACAGGTAGATTGGCAGGCAGTGAAGGGGCCACATCAACAGCAGGAGACAACTAAAGCTCCAATACCTGTGGGAAAGTCCTCTGCCTGTCAATCTTGGAGGGACATTCAGTGGGTGTCAGATTATACCTTGTTGTGGGCCATGCTAAGGCCATGCCTTCGCAGTGTTAGCTGGTCAACACATTCTGGGGTTCACTATTTTCTTGGTCTGTCCTGGGTCCCTAATAAGCTGCTGAACCTGGTTTCTGTGGTCCACCCATGTGCCCCTATAGTCTCCGTTCTCCCAATAAACTAGGATGGTGGCTCCCTTTCTGCTCCCAGGAATAAGTCATTTATCAGTTTGTGCTGTGGGTGTGCCGGATAGATGATGTAGTTTCTGGGTCTACTCAATGGCTGCCATCATCCTTCTTCCTCAAAAACAGAGTCAAACAATGGTTGTAAAACTGATGTTTGATTGTAGCATTCGGAGTAATCCCAGTACTCAGGAGGCAAAGGCAGGTGGATTTCTATGAATTCAAAGCCACTTTTCTACATATCATTTCAAGCCAGCCAAGTCTACATAGGAAGAACTTGTCTTAAGAATAAAATTAAGAAGTCTCCTAGAGCAAAGCACTCCCCCAAAACTCCACTGTTTTCTCCAGTATGGAGTAACTTCTGATAAAACAGAGCCTGACCATAACGCACACTTTCTCCACTGCTAGAAAGGAAAGTTCTTTCTCATTCATATGGGAGGATGTGTTTACAGAGAAATACCCCCTCTCGTCCTCTCGTCCTCTCCCCCTCCCCCCCCCCTCTCTCTGTCCCAGATTTTTAAAAAATGGGAAACACAGAGAAGAAAATGCAGATGGCCCCACAGAACTTCTGAACTTCTATGTGATGCTATGTCACCAGGCAGGTCACCAGGAAGAAAGAAGCCTGTCTCCAGAAGGGAAACCCAGAAGAAAGCATATATAGGAACCCTGAACTTAAGCCACCCCGACTGCTTGAAAGCAGTAACTTTGCCAAAAGTGTCACACATCTGTGTGCAGCTGACGATTGTAGACATGTGTGTCTTGCAGCTGAGCTCACAGTTGTGCCTGAGAACAGCTCAGGAAAGAGAGGCCTAAGGCTTCTCTATGCCTGAGAACCCTGCCCGCCTTTCTTCCTTCCTTCCTTCCTTCCTTCCTTCCTTCCTTCCTTCCCAGTCTTGTTGCTGGAAGGGAGGAAGGGAGGGAGGGAGGAAGGAAAAGAAGGAGGAGGGAAAGCGAGGAGGCAAGGCTGCAGCTGTTCCTTCAAAACTGCCAGGACTGGCTTCAGAGGAAATAATCACAGTGAATAATAACAGTTTGTGAAATTAAGTTTGTTGTTGGTTAATTTGCACTTGGGTTGATGTCTAAACTCTTACAAGCTCTTCTCCTAAACACATAAGCTGGAGCTGTTGAAAAGTGGGGAGTGCTATCTTATGCAACTTCTTTGGTGTGTGTTTTAAACTTGTTTTCATTGGCTATAAAAAAAAAAAAAGCCAACATAGGATGCAAGCTTATGTGGCAAGGTAACTCACATCCTGTCCACGTATCCTTTTCAGGTAGATAGGGAAGATCACATTTAGATTTAGAGTGTTTCCCTTGCCTTCTTCCTCTAGTGTGGAACCTATCCTTAGTGGCTTTGTTCTATAAAAGAACTCTTGGTTAAAGAGCACAGGGCTCCCTTGAGAGTAGGGGACATGACTGTACCTGAGGGACACCTTGCCTGAAAAGCTTGCTATTACAAGTATTGCCCATGAGCGCATCTCTGACCAGAAACACAGATGACACTAAAGCATTTCCCTAGTGTATACTCAAGCCAGGTCCTCAGTGTGATGA